ACCCACCCCCACCCCAAACCCCAAACCCTAAACCCTAAACCCTAAACCCTAAACCCTAAACCCTAGCACCTGGCGGCGAAGAAGGCCAGGACGTGTTTGATGAAGTGCTGCTCGTTGGAGTCCAAAGTGGCCCAGTCGGCCAAGTCGGCACTCATGTCGATTTCTTCGGTGGTCCAAAAAGAAGCTTCGGCTTTTTTGTACATGTTCCACACTTCGTGGTGCACAATCGGCAGCACCACCTGCAGCAGCAGCAGCAGCAGCAGCAGCAGCAGCAGCAGCAGCAGCAGCAGCAGCGGCGGGGGCGGCAGCGGCGGTGGGGCGCGAGTGGGGTTTCTCAGGGCACAAGGCCGGGGGCTGCTGCCGAACTCTGCACTTGCACCCGGGTCCCCCAGAGCCCCTAACTTGCTGCTGCTGCTGCTGCTGCTGCTGCTGCTGCTGCTGCTGCTGCTGGTGGTTGTGGCTCACCCATCTTCTGGGGTTGGGCTTGAGAAGGACTTCTTCTTTTTCGAGGGCTATGAGGCTTTTGGAATACTCCTTTTCCTCCTCAGTGGAGAGGCGCTGGGCAATTTCCTCGAGCTTCTCGGGGTCTGCTGCAGCAGCAAGCACTGCCTGCGCGTCTTCCCAAGAAAACCCCATTTTGCAATTTGCAAAAAAGAATAAAAGTGAAAAGTGCAGCAGATCGGCAGCAGCAGCGGCTGGGGGCGCTGCAGCGTCGAGTGTACAGACACCTCGTGGCGCAGCCGCGGCGCGCCAGCTTTCCGCGGAATCTTCGCGGGAAAAGGCGCGAAAGAAGCAGCAAGTGCAAACAAAAGGTAAAATGGAAATAAATGCTTTTAAATGCTTTTAATTGTTGCAAAAGAAACGCGAAATGGCGCCAGAACGCCCCCGACGCCGCAGCAGCCGAGCGCACACGAGACCCGGCGAGCAACTTGAACTGCCGCGCCACCCTCCGCAGCTCCAAAGACGCGATCTTTCGACTTTTTGCTTTCCAAATGCTTCGAATTAAATCCAAAAAAGAAAATAAAAGCAAATAAGAGCTGCTGCGGAGGTGCAGCAGCAGCAGCAGCGCCGCTTCGCCGCCGCAGGGGGTTCCGGCGCGGGGGTGGTGGTTGCTGCTGCTGCGCGTGTTTCTGGGGTTGTTCGGACGCCCCGCCCGCCTACTTTAGTCCTTTTCTCTATTATTCAATTAATTAATTCTTTTAACAAACATTTTAAACCATTTGGCGCTCGAAGAGCCGCCAAAAAGGCTGCGCGGGCCCCCGCCGCTGCTGTTTGCGGTGTCTTGACACCTGCCCGCCCCAGCCCGCCACCCTAACCCCCCTGCTGCTCATTTCATTTCTTACTTTTCTTCTTTTGCTTTTTGCTGCTCCTGAGGGCCTCCAGCCTTCAGCAGCAGCAGCACAGGGGGCCCCCTGGCCCCTTACTTGCTACTGAGAACGCCCACGCCCTTTGCTGCTGCTGCGCAAAAAAGAAACTGCGGGGGCCCCCTCCGCGCTTTGCTGCTGGGGCCCCTTTCTCCCTCCTCCCAGCAGCAGTAGCAGCAGCAGCAGCAGCAGCAGCAACTAGCCTTTGTGCCTCCCCGTAGCGCTTGCAGCAAAAAGTGCATTATATACTACTTGCGACATTCTTGAGACCCCCTGCTGCTGCTGCTGCTGCTGCTGCTGCTGCTGCTGCTGCTGCGATCCCCCCCGAAAGAGACTTTTGCAAGAAAGGGGGCCCCCTCTGCTTCTCTAGTTAACAAGAAAGGGGGCCCCATTAGATGGGGGCCCCTCTAGGGGGCCCCTCCCCTTTGGGGGGCCCCACCTGAACCCGCTTTTAGTCCTGCAGCGTGCCTGACATCTTTTGAAACTTTGCTGCTGCTGTTGCTGCTGCTGCTGCTGCTGCTGCTGCTGCAAGATAGACAAACAGAACAGAAAGGGCCCCTCAATAGTTGGGGCCCCAAGGGCTTAAATAGAGGCCCCTTTAGGGGCCCTCTAGAGGCCCTCTAGGGGCCCCCTAGGGGGCCCCTAAAAGGCCCCCTAGGGGGCCCCTAGGGGGCCCCTAGAGGGCCCTTTAGGGGCCCCTTAGGGGCCCCCAAAAGCCCCTTTGGGGCAAATCTGCAGCTTTTGCTGCAGCAAAAGTCCCGTGGCAGATGCATGCAAAACTGTTTAATTTGCGTTAAATATAAATTAAAAAGAATTAATTTTAATTGTAAATATCATTAAAATTAATTTTAATTTTAAATGTCATTTCTTTTTTTTGCAAAAGTTCCCAAGCGCGCTGCTTGGGGTGTACGTACACCCCACACTTGCTGCAGCACGCGGTGTACAGACACCCCAAGACTTGAAATTTAATTTCGAATTGAACTGCAGCAGCAGCAGCAGCAAAAGCTGCTGCTGCTGCTGCTGCAGTTCCCTTTCATTAATTGGGGCCTCTTGGAGTTTATTGAAGGCCAAAAAGGCCTCTGCAGCCGGCAGCAGCAGCAGCGGCGCTGCTGCTGCTGCTGCTGCTGCTGCTGCTG